TGGAAAAAGTAGCCAAAGCAAAAATATGAAATAGAACAGAAAGAATTCACAAAATTATCACTTAAAAGAACAGTACCGCTTGCCTTCTACAACTGCTTATATTTTCAGTATTCAATACTGATATATTTCAGTATTCAATACTTTCATTGCTTCATATTTTAGAAATGTTAGGCGATTTTAGATCCAAAAAAATGCTGCCTTACATTTTGTAATTTTTTCTCACTCCAAGAACATCACAGCAAATGATAATAATTACTATCTATAGCAAAAAAAAAAATAGCAGCTGCTGATTATAATATTTTTCAGAGCAGTAATAATCGAACATTCTAAAAATTTTAAGCTTTTCCAAATTTATTCCATCCTAGTCGCTAAATCATAGACACTTTTGAGATTAAAATGAATTATGTACGACAATAACAAAGATCAAAAGAGTACTCAATGCTTGTTACAGACAATTGGACAGAAACGAGGACAATTGCGCCCCGCTTTCATTTCCCTCAATCTTTACAATATGTGAGACGTGCGATTTGCATAATAGCGGTATTTCATTTGTGCGCGATTGATAGACAGTCCCGCAGAAAGTTCTTGATGATAACGAGGAGCGGGAAAGAGAAGGTCGGGGAAGGGTTATTGAGTGGATTGATTGGAGGAGGTGGAGAGCAGGAGATAAATTATTTTAATTTGAATCTCCTCATTTTGTGGTTACATTTAAAAAAAACTTGGGATGAATGCTGTATGTGATTTGTCAACAAAATATTCATAAATAAATTGTAAATGAAATAACAGTTTCTTCGTTTTCATTAGTTTTTCAGGCTAAAGCAGTGAATGGATTGTAATGACTTCAGGTGCTCTCTCCGGTTATTCCATCTATCAATTGCAGCTTTTCCTGGTAAGCCTTCTTATATGAATGAATGAACAATTCATGCAACCGATATGTTTCATCGTGGAAGATGGATAATGTCTCATAGAATCATCACATTAGCGAATCATAAATTTGAATCACTTTATCAATCTTAATTATAATTTTATGCTGAATTATGTTACCTATAATCACTCGGCTATGTGCCATATCCGGTCATGAATGTTAAGTGAACAAAAAACTTTTCCTATTTTGCAGAAATTTACTGCAACTTATACTGAAAGAAAGAATAATATAATTGGTAATTTTGATGTTGTTAATTAACTGTTAACCATTTGCGTTCGTACTATAAATAATTTGTTTCATTTCAACTATTCATTTTTTCTTTTTGTTACTATAAGGCAAATTTTGCAGAGAAATTTTTCGGAAATTATTGCTGCAAACTTTAAATGCTAAAATGATGAGATGTTTCCTTCCGTTCATTACTTTGCAGCAGATAGTTCATTACAGATTGTGATTGTTCAGTTCGTTTACAGTGAATTAAATCGCCAAATCTGTCAAGAACGTGGATTTAACAGCGAATCATTACAATGTTCAAGTTGTGCAGATTTACCACAATTTCATCTAGATGAACTTGTTGCTGACTGTAATTCATGTTGTAGGAAAGATTACGTGGAAGCAAGACAAGAAGTAAAAAAAAGTTTCATTTAGTTAAATCTACAATAAATTTTGTTTCATAGGAAATCATCAACTGAGAGCCATGAAGCCCTTTTTTCTTTAATATAAGTCGATATAATGATATTCCTTATTATAATGCTGATTAAACTTGAGATTATTTTAGAAATATCCACTGGCTCACATCGAAATTTGTGAATGTAATCTAGGAAGATTTCCGCAAGCGGAAGGTTAGTCAAAATTTGCATTAATTGAATAGCTCGAATAACTTTAAACGATGGCTTTTTGTTGCTACAGTAACATCTCATTGAAATGCCTGATATATGTAAAGTATTTTAGCATTTGTCAAATCCAATATGGTAAAGAAGTGGGGAACTTGCGTGAAAGTTCATCACGTTCGAGGAACATTGCCGACAATTAAGTTACTGGATGCGCAAGGAGAGGTGCAAAAGATCATGAATATCGAGAAATGGGATACCGACACAATTACAGAATTTTTAAATACATGGCTGGAGTGCTAGTAATCTAACCGCATGTTTTTCTTATGGTTGTTCCCTAAATTTATTCGCTTTTATCATTGCGGTTTTGATTATTGTTCGAAGGATTTGTGTAAGGTGTACTAGGCTTCTTTCATATTTTTGTGTACTTTTTGTACCCGTAACAATCAACAAACATTTGAGAAAATTAGATGGATTCAAAAAGAGCAGTAAATGCCTCACAGTTTTTTGATTTTGTCATTTTTTCAGTTACTAAATTTTTGCATGGCATTCTATATAGCATGAGGTTATTTATATAGGTTGAGATTGAAACATACTTGTTTGCTTCTATTTGGGATCATATTTAAGCATCTGAAAATAAAAGAAGTGTTT